TACATTTTTAATGCCATTTTTAGGTGAGGAAGTGGATGAAGCTGGATCAGGATCAAGGTAATTAAGATAATCATTTAAATCTTCAAATATTAAATCTAACAACGAATTGCATTTGTTTCCATGTAATTTATAATGACATTTGAGGGCCTTGTTTAATGTTTTACTTATGCAGATTTCGAAATTCATGACTGTAATACTGGTGTCACCTTTCAGTTTGAATGTGAAAAAGGGCTAGGATTTTTTTTAACGGTTTAACGTAATGTCATTGTAAATTTGTAACACAGAAGCAGTCATTTTTTGGAACTTCAGATATAAATTGCCAAACAAGATTGGAATTTCATCAGAAAATCTTTAAAACAGAAAGTGATTGCCCTGAATGAATCACAACAATAGCCATCCTGAGGTGGTTGTGCTTCTTAATGTTATTAATAAAATGATCAAGATGTACATGTACATTGTATGATTGCAGAATATTGCAGCATGTTGTCGACATTTTTCTGTTGTGTGTGAAGTTTTTTATGCATACATTTTTTCAAAATAATTGTGAACTTAATTCCTTGTATCTTTCAGTTTTTACTTCATGGTTATGGAATGATGTGTACAGTGTGCATGGGTGATAGTTTTCTATTGTCCTATTGTATGCATCATATTGTAAAATTCAGATGCAGCACATCATCAACTTTTTGTTCCCTGGCCAGTTTGCTTTATACCAAAACCGATGAGTGAAGTGTTGAAAATATTTATTGTAGCCATCACGTGTACGTGCATTAATGGAGGTTCCTTTTTTCTTCTGCAGTGCAAAACCAAAAATAGCTCAGTTCCTGGCCAACCAAAGAGACAAGCTTGCAACACATAAAGACAAACTTACCTCAAATACAAAAGGCTTCCTGACAAAGGTATTTGTTACATTATATCATACATGTACATCCCTAAATAAGTCCTTATCATGCGTGATTGATGGCAGCATCATACTGTTGAATTAATGCATGACGTACAGCAGGCATTTCTCAAAACAGGAGTCCTATTCCACTGTAAATGGAAGTTCTTTTGCGTGGTCACAGTCACAAAAATTTTCTGAATTGGTACAGAGGGTTATTCAGAACTTCAGGTTGTGCAGGGATTTATTCATTATGAAGGATAATTTCATTTTGTGACAAACAGAATGGTAATCCAACTGGGCATCGTCTCCGAAATGGAAAATTTCATCTGTTTTCTCATGAAGTCATTCTCACTGTAAAAAAATGCATGTGTCAATCACGTTTCAGTAAATTGTGATGTTACGATGTTCGGTATCAAGGGCTGGCATACTTTGTGCTGCTTTGTTAACAGCAAATCGTGTACAACTTGTATTTGCTGTTATTGCCGTTTTAAAGGCAGAACACATTGAAAGGGGAGGAAAAACTGTGTCAGAGTAACTTGAGTGTACAACTGCATACTTTAAACAATATTTCATTTGAAAGAGGAGTTAGGTTGGTGTAGCGACTCTTTTCTCACCTTCCACCTTTGCAACCCAGGTCAAATCCGACCTAGGTCATGTAGGTCAGCAACTTGATTTGGTTTTCAGTCCCTGCCTGATTCTGTGGGTTTCCCTGGAAAGTTTATCCAGGGTTTGCTTCCCACCTCTAAAACTGAAAATTTTTTCATTGTCTTCTTGTTACTTTACCTTGTAATTAGTGCTAGATGCACTGTTGGTTGGACAGATACATAAATAAAATGATGCCACCATGTGGAGCAAATGGTGGAGTATCTTACCATTTTCTACCTGGTTTTGTAGTTTGATGAAAGGTTTTTATTGATAAATTGCATTGTGCCAGTTATTTTCATGTGCTAGCAGTCTTCTACATTGATATAGGAACCATATGTACAGTGGAATGCCACTATAACCAACACTGCTCTGTCAAATATTTGGGAATACCAAACATACCCCATGGCTCCCCAAATTTTTGTGAACTTTTACTGAACATTACAGCTGGAACATTTTAAACTTATGATATTGCATGTAAATTGAAAGTTTAGGAAACTTGTACTCACAATAGGGCAACGGCCAACATGTGGTGTAGTCTGTATCATTTGTGGGTAGCCTACATTACATTCGATGTCTGCATTCACAGTATATGTGTGTAAAACACTGGCAAAATGTGACATAAAAAATCACCAAACAGAAAAAGATATACGCAGATAGACCCTAGCATTTGTCAAGAAGCTTGCAGAAATTTCTGCTAAATATCTTGCTAGTTTTTATCGTTTTAAAAATGTTTGCTTGACATTTCGTTGTCACTTTCAGACACATACAGTGTGTGCATTGTGCTATTGTGTTAGAATGGTTCCAGATGTGATTCATTTATTAAAGTGCCATTTTACCAATATGGAACCAGTGTAACTGTACTACATATTACATGCAATTTTTAAGTGACTCAAGGAAAACTTGATTTAAATTCACAATTGTACTTTAAGTGAGAACTATCCGTAAAGTAAAAGATGAAAGAAGATTAACATTCATTTATCAAAATGCAGGAATTTCAATGTGTTGTTTATTTTTAACTTTATTTTCTTGCATGTAATTGTTGGCCCAGAATCATCATACTGAAACATTTCATGGTGCAGGCCATCCCACATTTACATGGGCCAGAGTTCAGAATGGTCATGTGCATCAGATCTGTGACTAAAAATTGCTGTACCTAATGTTTGCTATAGCAGTGTTCCTCTGTAGCTTATTCAAACTTGTCTTATGTGAGCATCTTCCATGTGCTTGATTCAATTCTTGATCAGATTGGAGATGCTGTCACTAGGAATGCACCTGCATCAACAGGCAACAGGTCTTCACCTCCATCTACCTTATCAAGTAGTCCTCAAGCTGGAATTGTGTCTGACCTCAATGAAATCATAAGTATGAATTTTTTACTCTTCTATTATCTGCTTTGATTGATTGAAGTGCAAACTTCAGTGTCTATCTGCTGTTCATTTTAATATTGGCAGTCATAGCATCGATTGGATTTTAATGATTTTTATATCTGTTTTGGCAGCACAGTGGTCATTGCACATGTCCATTTACCTGTCTTGGTGGGATGTGTTGGGGTTTCTCAATATGCCACTCCAGTTTGAAATCACAGAAGTTTACAGTGTTGATATCACTCAAATAGTATATTTCCCTGTGCCACCGGGCCATAGGAAAAGTGTAGTGTGCCCTCTATCTACCACAGTGTGTAGTGGTGTGTCTGTAATCTCCATTCTTTTTCACAGTATCAGAGCAAATGAACATGTTTCTTTACACACAAGTGCTTCCAGTTTCCGTGCTTTGCTGATATTTGCTGTTCTACATTGCTCAACTGTGAAGTATATATACATACAAGTACATCCTGTAGATCTTTCAATGTAGCTGCTTAGTTAATGTTACTTTGACTCCAGTATAAAGACAGGAAGATTACACTTAAAGTAGAATAGTAGTGTAGTTTCTTGTTACATCAATATCTACCGAACTGTGCTGAGTGGGGGAGCACTCACCTCACCCCTTAACAATCTGTTGGTTTTCCATTTAAATTGCCTCTTCACCCTGAGAGCTAATAATCTGATCACTGAGGTTCCTTTATTTTCCAACAAGGCTAATAATGGCCCAAGAAGGTTCAATGAGTCTACCAAGGAGAGAAGTTGCCTCACTCTCCTTGTGGCTCACCATCCGTTGTGGTCAGGGTAAGCCTGTTGGCATTAGACCATTAGAAAATCTGAAGCTGTTGTGTTGTTCATTTGAACTGTCACTTCACCCAAGGTGTTAGGCACCTCATCATTGAGGACCCCATATGGAAAAAGGGGTTTGTCTCTCTCCCAACAAAGGATTAACTGAACATGCTGCGTAGGCAGGAGCTTATGCCCCACTGTTCTTTCAGCGCCTTTTGGCATTCACTGTGTCTGTTGTCAGTCTCCCTTTGCAGGACTGCCTCACCCTGGTATTGCTCAGAAGGGACCATGGTGGAGGATAAATAAGCCCTTGAAAACAGATGGGACCCAACAATCTACAGTCATCCTTGGGACGGTCACTGACACTTGACAGTTTAGAATTAACTTCTCACAAGTCACTGCCTCTTTGTATGCTGGGGACAATATACACAAACCAGGGCTGAAGGGCTCATATGAAAAGACAGCTTTTTAAGCTTCCATTTAAAGCACAACTTGAAGAGGACAAGTGTCACTTCTTCAAGTGCCACACTGCCCTATTAAAAGAGAGGACCCCTGTCTTTTCTGACTTTCCACTTGACCATAGAAAATGGAAACTTGCTGCTGTTGTCTGAATACTTGGCCTTCACATTTAAGGCGTGAGGTCAAAATACAGACGGTTTAGAAACAGTTGAACGGTTGGTGTTAATCCCCCTTCATTCCGTTCCTCTTTTGGTGTTGGACAGTTCAACGGTTTGAAAAGAACCGTCTGCCCTGGACTGTCTAGCTTCACAAGCAACCCTGACAACAATGGAGTTTGTGGCTTACACAGCCATGGTTGTGAACAAAAGATCCTATTGAGGCAGAACTTCATTGGCCCTGGTCAGCCTTCCTGGGCTGGCCGTGAGGATTAGCGGTTAACACCTTGTGATAGAGACGCAAAATCAACTGCATTCCAGGCTACAGACATTTATCTAGCTTCAGATACGTTTTGAGTAGGTATTTCATGACAAAAAAGCATCGCCCCAAGATAATTGTTCGTGTTGAAGCGTTTTTTAGACTGGAAAATAAGATTTGTGCAAATAGAAAAAAAAAAGCCAGCATGCTCAATTAGGAATTTCACCCAGTACAGAACACAAGATTAAAATAAAATTTT